TTGGTTGGCCCATGGTGCCTGCTCAGTAAATCTTAGACCTGCTTACCGGCTACTAGGTTGAGCAACTGTGGTACTCACTCACACCTGCTATAAATTACAAACACATATCCGAGAGCGATTTGGGCCCACACCGATGACCTCGAACTTGAGTTCCATGAAAGACACATTCTTTCACAAAGACACTTTCCTTTCTCTCTGAATGGAAGACGCTAAACGCCCCCTTTCAAGGGAAAAGTCATATTTGCCCCTCTCGGATCATGAGATGTGGAGTGACCTGACACAGAATCTTTCTTCCAAACATGCCACGCCTTCATCCCCTGTTGCTGGGGTGAAAGGAGGTAAAAGCTGAACACTTAAGTCCTACATCTGTTCCTGAGCCCTCTGCCAGGCTGCCTGCTGCCTGCCAGGCAAGTCATTTCCTGCCTTTGAAGTGTTAGACCCTCCCGTGGTTATCAGGCCACTGTCTGAAGTCTGCACTAATCTGGAGGAGAGTGGTACCAGAGTACGACAGTGGCCTGGCCAGTGGGGAAAGGGCACAAAGGTCTGACATCTGGGCATTGTGTTTCTTTTCCTAGCCCTTGAACAAGGAGATAGGTGCGTCTCTGATGTCGCGAAGGAACTTTGGGAACTTGTGATAATAACACAACAGTAGAAGCTGTCACTCACTCACGCATCAGGTATCTCTTATGTGCTAAGCATGGTGCACAGCACCCTTCCTCTCGCTTCCTCATCACAGCAACTCGTTTAGGAAGAGGTGATGTGACCTATTTTAAAGATGAAGCAACTGAGTTTTGGAGAAAAAAAAGTTCATGGTTTTTATATCCCACAGCTGGTAAGGGATGAGCCTTGGGGGTGAAAGGAGGTCTTCCAGAACCCGTGCTCTTGACTACTGGGTTTGAAAAGCGTCCCTACTTATCCTATACTCAGGATCAAATATGATTGACTCCAAGAACACAAACTTCATTACTAGATTAAACAACCAAATAATGAGTCCTCTCCCACAGTATGTCCTTCTTAATTTCACAGCTACATAGTAAGCACTGACTACATATCTGATACTGCATAATGTTTTAACAAGACACAAATAAGATATGGCATCGCCTTCAAAAATTTGAAGGGGAAGGTTGAGGCATTGCTTATTGCTAGGCTGTTTGCCTGGCATGTACATATCCCCGAGTTTAAAGGGAGGTGGTGATAATTGTATTAAATAAAGTGTTTGTCGAGGATTTGGTGATAAAAGTTTAAGAAGCCATACTAGCACACAGGAAGGAGTTCTTACCTGTTTCTAGAAAGAGAGAAAGCTTCACAAAGAATGTGACCGCTGGAGGAGGGAGGTCCTGAAAGATGGAGGAGTTGGTATTCGTGGTGTCAGAGGTATACAAAGAAAACATCTGAGAAGAAAGAAGTTGGAGCATAGGCCAGAATCATTGCAGTGAAAACGGTGACCAAAGACTCTGGGATAGCTGCCCCACAGGGGGCTGGAGCCCAAAGCAGACAGCATCTGAAAGATGATCCACTTGCTACTTAACAGAGCCAAAGGTGCCAAATGCAAAGTGCCCGTTTGCATTTGACCAAATGTAGCTTCTTTAAAGGTTTATTTTAATTTTGTCACTTTATTTTTCCTTTTGAGACTAGATCTCATGTAGGCTGGCCTAGCCCTCAAATTTACTATACAGACAAGAATGACCTTAAACTTCTTATCTTCCTATCTTCACCTATATTATAGGGTTATAAGTATATATTACCACACTGAATTTATGCAGTGCTGGGGACTGAACCCAGGGCTTCATTAATACTAGGCAAGCTACTGTACCAACTGAGCAAATCCTCAGCCCCACTCATGTAGTGCATGCATGTGAATATGTGCCTCATGATTGTGCACACATGTGTGTGAAGGCCTGAGGTTGGGGGTGAGTCTTCTATTGTTCTTCATCTTATTTGTGAGACAAGGTTTCACTGAACCTGGAGCTCATAGATTGACTAGACTGGCTGGCCAGTGAACTCCAGGGATCCTCCTGCCTCTGGCCTCCAAGCCCTGAGACACACACCATACACCAAGCTTTATTCATTTTTTTAGAGGATGTGGAGCAAGTGGAACACTCCTACACTGTTGGTGGAAGTGCAAACTTGTACAACAACTTTGGAAATCAGTACAGCAGTTTATCAGAAAACTGGGAATCAATCTTCCTCAAGACCCAGCTATACCACTCTTGGGTATATACCCAAGAAATGCTCAATCATACCACAAGGACACATACTCAACTATGTTCATAGCAGCATTACTCATAATAGCCAGAATGTGGAAGCAACCTAGATGCCCCTCAACTGAAGAATAAATTAAGAAAATGTGGTACATATACACCATGGAGTACTACTCAGCAGAGAATATCAATGACATCGTTTTTTGAAATAGAATCTCACTGTGCAACTCTGGCTAGCCTGGAGTTGGCTTTATAGACTGACCAGATTGGCCTCGAACTCATGGAGACCTACCTGCTTCTGTTGCCTGAGCATTGGGATTAAAAAAATGAATCACCATGCCTGGCAAAGAACCCAGCCCTATGTGAGTTCTGGGGTCTGAACTCCGGTACTCAGGCCCTTTTGCTTAAGTGGCAAGTATATAAAGATTCACTGAGCCACCACCCCAGCTTCCTTTATGTAGGTTTTGAACTATGACTTCTGGGCATGATAACAAAAATCTCTAGTGAGAGCCAGAGAGATGGCTGAGTGGGTTATGGGCATGTGCACCCAAGCCTAACAACCTGAGCTCTATCCACAGGTCCTACATGGCAGAAGGTGAGAACCTCTGGTTACCTCAAGGTATCTTCTGACCTCCAAACATTGATGGTGGCATGTGCATGCCCATATACATACATACACAGACAAAATAAATCATTGCATTTTTAAAAAAAAATCTATAATGATGACAGAAAAGCCTGTCATTGAGCATATGTGATAAAAAAAAAACTAAGATTAAAGTTTTTTTGTTCGTTTTTGTTTTTGTTTTTGTTTTTTTTCATTTTGTTTTGTTTTGTTTTTTTTGAGACACGGCTTCTCTGTGTAGCCCTGGCTGTCCTGGTACCTGATTGTTAGACCAAGTTGGCCTTGAACTCACAGATATCTGCCTGCCACACACTCATCTGCCCTCCATGAGCTCTTAGAAACCCAAGTAGACAACACAGGTATTTGTATGATACACTTTACTGCAATTTCCACACAAAGGTGTAAGTCCAGTAACTCAGCAGGGCTCAGTCTTTAACTATCATTATTCCTGTTTGAATTTTATTTTGTTGGCTTTTTCCCAAGGACATACATCTCTCAGATCTGATTGTTAACAACAGCCTCAAGAATATTGTGCTCTGCTGTGTCAGTCTGCATGAAATCTATGCTGTGCTTCAGGGCTGTATGGCTTCCTTATAGGTTGACCTGGATGTTTTTCCCCACATTAGTCTCTCTTTCTTCTCCTTTCAATGACAGAGGAGTGTCATCTCTGTGTGAAAGTATGAAGTATTGTTTTTCCAAATAGTACTAGTGAATGTCAACTACCATGACACATTAGTGAATCATTGTTTGGGGTGTGCACATAGTGAGCCTAATTTTTCTTACTGTTTTGCAAAGTATTTCAACAATAACACTAACACTAGTTATTTTTCACTTACTGTTTGTTTATGCATATATTATGTTGTGTATTATAGTATCATAACTGTTTATCCTATTGCTATATAATCATCAAAGTTAGCATTATTTTAATGGTCACTTAATCATCCATCTTATTAATGTACTATAATTTGCTTAACTTAAATTTTCAACAATGGACTTATTTCCAATTTTTTCTGTAGGATAAATAACCTCTAGGTTACAGATTTTTGCACACAGCTTCTTTTATTTTTCATATTTTTCCTTTGGGTCCACTCATAGGAATGGGATCCCTAGATCAAGGAATATAAATTTTTAATGATTGTTAAATAAATGGATGTTATTTTTCCAGTTTACAATGCCATGAGCAACATATTAACATTCTGCTCACATAACAACCTTATCAGAAGTGTGTGTTACTATTTGACATTTAATATACTTACAAGACCTTTTGTTTTAATCAAACACTTTCTTACAAATTGTGTATCTTCTTGTAGTTTGTAAAGCCACTTGGACTCAAAAGCCTAGCAATACTTCTTTTCCATCAATAACTCCTGCTGTTACTCAATAATTTTATGTATATTAAATAAAACTAATGTTGAATTCTCAGAAAAAGCATTCATTTATACTCATAATATGAATTATTGAGGACCTGTGTGTAGAGAACTATGTGTGGAGTAGCCAAATAAAATAATGGGAAAATTAGAAAGTTAAAACAAGGAAAATATATCTATTCCAGAATTCCCAAAGTCCAAGGCAGGACTACATTTCAAATAGTTCTAACCTCTAGTCAGATTTGAATGACTTTTTCTTTCTTGCCCCAAACTCACTCAGTTTTCAATGTGCAAACTTGGGAGCTCTTAATCATATGGCTTCTAATATTTCTTTCTTGACTTTATTCAAGAATCCCTAATGAATGAAATCGTGTACACACACACACACACACACACACACACACACACACACACACAATGTTTTGTGCCATTTCCAGACTCATCGTGCCTCCAAGCTGGTACATGCACGCAGCTCTAGAAAAATGAGATGGATTCCCAGCCTGCACCCCTGTCAAGGGGCTGAAGGCCAGGTCCAAAGACCCAGTTTTGCCCCCCATTCCAGGTAATGTGGCCTGGCTCTTGAAATGGGCATCTTCTGTGTTTTGCCAACTGGTGCAAGGATCTTTCAGGACAAGCCACCACTAATCCACCCTGAGTTGAGTAACCCTCATCTTGGCTAGCCCTTTCTCTTTGACCTAAGGGTGTTAAGGTTTGTTTAAATAAGATAATTGTTACATGTTGGTATGTGGGACTATAAAGAAAGTCATTAACCATGTTTCCCTTCCCCCCTTTTTTTTCCCTTTCTTGCAGCCTCAGCGGAGGGTTCTCCATAAACATGTCAGCCTTGCAAGCTGCTGTCCTGCCAGTGGGCATGAGCATGGCCTGTTCCCCAGAGAAAGACTTACTCATGGCACTGCCAGAAGAGATCCTTGGAGCACTGACAGAGTCGCTGGATTAACTGAGAAAATGCCTATTCGGTCAAGATTATGAAGTTTGGGAGGAAAAACATCTTGGTTTGCAGGGGATTTTCAAATGAGGTGCATAACATACAGTGCCAACTCGTTCCAAGTGGTCATTGGCAGACCATTAGCTGGAAAATTGCTTCCAGTTTTCATCACTGTGCATAACTCAAGTTCCCCCCTTGGGCTCTGTCTGTGCCCTTCACTAGACGTCCTGTTTTAGCATGGCAACTACTGGATTATTTCATTAAGTGTGCAGATGGCATGATGTTTTAGAAAAAAAATACAGGCGTTCTGCAGTCTCAGTGGAAGGGTTCACAATATTATACCCTGGTAGGAATGTAAACGTGTCTTGATATTGTGTTAGTTACCATGTCCAAAGGTGTTCTGTCGAATGCTAACGCACTTTATATGAGAACACTACACTGAGATGAAATAGCACATTTGATACACGTAGGAAAACAAACGTCTTCTCTTTTCTTTATAAATCTTGTCTTATTTCTGGCTCAGACTGTCCAAGACAAAGTCCACTCCTAGTGTCCTCCCACTTGTCTGTGGTTCATCAGTGTAAATATGGCCACAATACTGTTAGATTTCACTTGCTGACACTTTACTGGATAACCAGATTACTTAGAGCACAAAGGGAAGTAGAAGTTAGCAAGCCTGGGGACTGAACTATTGCAAGTCTTGGTTCATTGTACCCAGGCACAACTTGACACATGACATCATGACACTCTGTACAGCCTACTTCTCTTTGGCCGATGCATACATACTCTTCTATATAGGAGATCTTCCAAACACAAAGACCATGGTGGGTTGATGCCAAGGGCAGCAGAATGCAACCTTCCTTAGTGGTCCCACTTCTGCCCTTAGGAAAACTTCCAGAGGTCAAGTTTAAATCACAGTTCTGGAGAGAAGCATCAAATGACCCCCACTGTGTGCCTAGAGAAGTAAAGCATTCAGCCCACACTAGGTTTCTTCCTCAGCATAGAACTTACTCTTCCCCTTTAATACTACCTGGATGTATATATGACTTTTTTAAATTCTGTCTAACAACAAAGCACAGCCCTGGGAAACCTGTCCAGTCAGTGGTTGCTTACCTGAACACTGGAGAACTGTTCATTGATATTGATTGCCCCCTTATGATACATTAGCATCTTTTCCCTGGAAATTGAACCTTGGCTGGATCAAACCTCAGCAAAGTGTGTTATGAGCACTCACTAACCTAACCTGAGACCAATAGGCATCAGAGACTAATATTTAAAATAGAGGTAACAACTTCTGGTACCCGTCCAGAGAAAGCAAGCCAGACATTTTACATTGTCTCCCAACACTCATTCTCTGTCTCCGCTTGAAGTCTCAGGAAGTGGAGAGCCCCGAATGTGATACAAACAGGATATCTCTCCACAGGATGGCTCCTGTCAGATGTGGACTAGAAAGGGACCTCCTGATAGGAACTCAGAGTAATGAGAGCTAACATGAAGTCTGGACTTTTCACAGATCACCACAGATCATAATTATCTAAAAAGCTGAAATTGGTAATCCAAACCCAGGCTGCCAATACCCCTGCTCTATGACCCATCCTTTTGCCTTAGTTCTAGAAGCAGGGTCTATGCATTCCCTCATTCTTTCTTTTCATTCAGCAAGCATCTGTAAAAGGACCGCCATGTGCCAAGAACTGTATTGGGTCAACTCTAGTATATAAGGCACACTCCTACTGCTTCCATTGAATGGGTTTTTTTTTCTCTTCAACACTACTCTCTTCCCACAGTACAAACTGAATTGAGATATCCACACCCACCCACCCACCCTCACCTTACCAGAGAAACAAAGGAAAATGTTCATGACAGACAGCAGGCAGATCCCATTTCTGAATGAGTGAGCAGCTTGGGAACACATACAGAACCTTGCTAGACAGCCAGCTAAGTTGATCCAAGCTTCCCACAGCAGCTCCCAGTTGCTATCCTCGATGCCCACCCTGGTCTATTTCCATCCTTCCTGTAGATACTACTGTTTATCACTATGCTCAATTCTCTGAAATGCCAATTCTATAACTACTCCTAAAGACCCTGAATTGGTTCTAATGAATCCTATAAACCCTGTCAGGTGCTGGGATATTGTAGCTGAGAATAAACTGGTGTAATCCGTGATATTCCTGCTAAAACCCTTGGAGAACTAGATGCCCATTCTAGGACAGATGTCCACTAAATGATCATGGACTATTGTCGTTTTGGCTTTTGCAAAACAATCTGAATGACTTTTTTTTAAAGTTGCCTCTTTTTTTTGAGTCACAGGAATACTGTAACATTATGGAAAGATAATGGTTAAAGATGAAAATGGAAAAATGGAAAATGAAGGCCCTGAAAGAGCCCAGTTGAAAATGGTGTCTCTTAAAAATGCCTTAATGTCTGGCACAACCCACATATTTGCATATGAGCCCGTACTGTTTTCCAAACTGTCAGCCTCTGTTTGAAACAGTTATAGGTTTGGAAACATGGTGGCATGACATCTGTGCATGCACAAGCAAAACCAGAAAAAAAAATGGAGAAATGATTTCATTCACAGCCTTCGGCTACCTTGTGTGGTGACCCTCTGTGAGATTGCCCCATGGTTACTTCTTGCTCTGTTGTGTGTGTTTGGGGTGGGGAGTTGGGTGTGCAATTTTATCTTCCAGAAACCCAGGCATATCTGTGGTGGGTTATGTTTTGTAGGACAGGAGATATGGGGAGCTAAGGGATAAATGTTTTAATATCTAATGATTGAGGCTTTAATTTTTCCTTTTTCTTAAACCTGGACTACCCTTTTTACTAAAAGGCTGACACTCACACTTATGCAGGAAAAGCACTCTTGGGAATGAACTGAAATGAATAATTATCAGATTCTCCAGGGTGCTGAGGGGAATAGCTCGGTTCACATCCAAAATCAAGTTTAAGTATGCAGAGCACCATGGTTCTGCTGGGGTCGAAAGCAATTCGTGCCAGTAGCTTGAAACTTGCCTAGGACGGATAGGGACCCCATCAACTTTCTTTATGGGACGTGGCTCACCTTCAAATCCCTGTGCTTGCTCCGTGACATGTATACCCAGTATTTCAATTTCTACCTCCACAATACGGGTAAAGATGCCAGGTTCTCTCCAGAGTCATTCTGCAGCTGCCCAAACAGAGGCATACAATCCTCAGTACTGAGGAGAACGTGCCATTTTTAACACTCAATGGGGAGAGGGAAGATGAAGGATGACTGTGAATATAAACTAAGGATGAGAACCTCTAATGGATCCACCTCACACACCCTAAATGTTTTCTTTGTCTGCAAATGTCACGTAATTAGTTTTGGATAGCAAAAATAAAAGTCTCAAGGAAGTAAAGTTTTCAAGGCACCCCTAAGATGTTTTTTTAATCCAAACCTCTCCCCCACACATTAGCAGCTTCATTCTTTTCAATGTTTTCTTCCATCTTCTTTAGAGTAATTTTGCTACTTGACAACTAGACTTAAAGTTGCCATAGACTTAAAAATCAAATCTCTGAAAGTGACAAAAATTCCTTTATTCTTTAAAGGCTGTTGTTATTCATCCCATCTTCTCCAACCCCCTCCATCCCACTTTTTGCTTTATTTTATGTGTGTGTGATTTTTTTCTTTCTTCTCACCTCTTTCTTTCGCATAGTGCTATAGATATATTTCAAGTATTCTATAAAGAACTCAAATAGAACCACAGAGCCCTCACCAGTTTTTTCCCCTTCCTGACTAAAAAATTGAGCCTTAAGCTTGACCTTGATGCAGCCCAAGCAGCAGTGGGACCCCCATTTTCATCTCCAGAAAGTCACTGGTCAGTGGTGATCATTCGAACAAAGCCAGCGGGATTATAGAGGAGGGCAGGCCGGGAAACATATCTAGTTGAGCAGAGCTGAGGACTCTATTTCAAAGACAAGCAAGCCTCCAACTCAATCTCCTTAGATCCGGGTCTAATCCTAGAGCCAGAGCATGGTACTGTGAACTCTGTTTTATCAATAGACAGAACTGGGGGCTTAAAGGTAAATGAAGACTGATTCAGTTATGTTCCTCTGATGATGTCTGTTACCTGGAATACAGAATAGACTTGGAAAGCTATGAGTGAGGTGAAAAAAATAAAAGACTAAGTGTGCCTTTGTGAAGGTGGCTACAGGGTCAATATCCATGGTGATGCCTTCTGTCCATCACTTCAGTTTCAGAGGCACAATCCTGGATGAGGAAGTAGGAAGGGACAAGAGCTGTTTCTATCTAAACTCTAAAATGTACCCCATGAAATTTAGGTGCCGAAATGAAAAAGAGAAAGACCATCAGGCATGGACCAGCTCTGGTCCTCTGCTTCACATCAAATGACAAAGCAATGACTTCTATGGAGTAGTGAAACCTGGTCACTCAAGGTTTTATAAAACTGTTTCATTTACCATATAAGGCTACTTAAGAACCATAAGCACCAAAGAATTCTCCCATCTGAACCCCCTTTCATACTTATTTCAAGCATTAAAGACAACAACAATCTATACTGGCTGCCATTTAAAAGTCACTGGTGACAGGACTCTTGCTGATTCACAAAGCCAACAGACAGAATGATACCAAACAAACGTTGTTGGTCTTTTGACATTCCTTCCAATCACATAACATTTTCAAATTTTGGAGCTAATGGTTTGGGGGATTTGTGTCAATCAGTTGTTTTATTGCTGTTTTCCAAACCCCAGAAATTTCCAGTACCATAAAACGGATCTTAGAACTGGACCTTTCTGCCCAAAGTGTCTGGTGTTGGCATATCAGCTCTGCTGAAATGCTAAGAAATGTATTGAGCTGGGCAATGGTGACACATGCCTTTAATCCTAGCATCAGGAGGCAGAAGCAGGTGGATCTCTGAATTTGAGGCCAGCCTGGTCTACAGAGCAAGTTCTGGGACAGCCAGAGCTACACAGAGAAACTCCCTGTCTTGAAAAACCAAAAGAAGAAAGAAAGAAAGAAACTTCACCCAACTAGGAGGTACTCATGCCTAGAGTAACTAACTGAAACACTGGAGAGTGCTGGTTACCTGCCGCCATGTTCACAACCTTTTAGAATTCAATCATTTGGATCAAAGGAAATAAATAATTGAATCACACAGTTCTTTCCATATTAGTATAGACATAGTTATCAAATGTAGAATTCCAGTGTTAAGTGTTTTGAAAGAACACACAAATCTGTTTTGTGATGTTTCATTTAATCACTACCACACCATCTCAAGTTCTACAAAAATATATTAAAATACTCCACGCTGAAACAAAACTCTATAGCAAGAATTCTTATTATAGTAGATCATTATTTCACCTGGGAAGGAGAAACTAATTTTGCCTCCAATTCAATACCTTGGGCACTTTAGAGGTTGTTTCTATCCCACTTACAAACGGAGCATGCTCTGCTGGCATCTCCTGAGAAGTGACCACAACTTCTAAAACAGCACAAGGACCATAAAGACCTTTTAAGTACACTAGCTATACTCCATGTTCAAACTTAAATACAAAACTAGGGCTTGGAATTTCAGTGTTGTTACGGGTTTGAAGATTGTTAAATCAAAGCCAACCACATTGGGAGCTGACCACAGACTCAGGAGGTTTTGGGCAATTCCCTGTCTGGATCCCATGCAGTTAACTCAAGATAAGCATGTGTTTCCTCACATATCAGCTGCAGAAGTGAAGCATGTGCCAGTTCTCAAAAGGCCTTTGGTGGAGCTGGAGATATTATTAATTTGGTAGTGTTATTAATTTGGTAGCATGCACAAAGGCCTAAGTTGGATCCCTAACACCACCTAAACCAGGTAGAGCAGTGCATGCCTGTCATGCCACCACTGGAGAGAAAGAGGCAAGGGAGGACCAAGAGTTCAAGGTCATCCTGGACTGCATCACAATTTTGAGACTAATCTGGACTGCATGAGATCCTGTCTTGATAAATTAATCAATTGAAAAGACCCCTGGTTACTGACAGAAACCTTGAAGGTCGTGTTAGTTGCTGATGGCTATTTATGTTCAAATTGCTAGAACCTTGTTTTCATCCTTGTTTGTCTGGGGTTTTTTTGTTTTGTTTTTGGTTTTTTGTTGTTATTATTGTTTGTTTTTTAACAGTGCTGGGAATTGAATCCAGGGCCTCTGGCATGCTAAGCCAAGGGTTCTACTCATGAGTCACATCCCCAGGGCCATCTTTTTCATGCTTAGCCCACTCCTACCTCAGATCACCAGCAACAGAAGTCTTAGCTTCTGGAAGGGTGTTGACCCCATACTTGTGCTTGCACTCACACTGGGCAATGGTGGGGCTCTGCATCGTTCACCCCCTTCGTCTCCCAGCCGAAAGCATTGTCCTAAAAATGCCATGCTGCAGGACGCTGGGGATTGGCTAGTAGAAGACGCTCACGTTGCAGAGAACTGAGTAAGACCGGGTCCCTTCATTTGCACTGTCCATCTCAGTGGTGATGAGAGCAGAAGCCTGTCTGCCGAGAAGCCAAGGCAGAGCAAATGTTCTGAAACTAATTCGACTACAGCTCTTGCACCACTAAACCACACGACTGTAGTTCTAGTTAATCCAACTGTTTAATGTTATTAGGCACTAAGTTAAATAGCTTTACACGAAATTTTAGAAAAGATCAATATTGTAACAAAATTACAGATTAGCAGTAAAAAGCACCTGAGAAAAGAAACTATCGATCTGTTGTAGTTTATATACTTACGTTATTCTTAGGACTTTGTAAGAGATTGGCGCTTCACTGATAAAGGGAAAGAAACTGTTCGGGATTCAAGAATGGTGGTATAACAGCAATTTCTGGGGGCTTTGGGCCTTAATCTTTCTGGGATGCTCTGTGTCCCTCAGCAGACAGGGTTGTTTGAAGACTAGAAGGGGCTAATGGGTAAAGTTGTCCCATACCACATATTTATGAATAATTGTCATGGCAAACTGGGTTATGGGCTTTGTTAATGATACTGTTCCTCATTTTTGAGGTTTTTTTTTTCTTCAAAAACTATTATTACCAAGCCTCCACTCTGAGATTAAAAGAAGAAAAGGAAATATGAGAAAGTAATACATGGTATTTTACATATGTGTGTGAACACACATACACACAAATGGTTGGACACACAGACTCACACACAAACACACATAGACACACACAGAGACATGCACACAGATACACACACACACACACACACACACACACACACACACACACATGCTTTTTCTGAGATACAGGAGATGTTCTCCAGAGCTTTCAGTGGCAGCATCCACTTATCTCCCCTCCCCCTCTCCAAGGTTCAGAGAACAGTGACCTACCCAGAGATGAGTACAGGCAAAGATTCCCAACCTTCAGCCTGAACAAGGCCACAGAGCATGTGCAGTTCCCAAGCTGGGGGCATCAAGAATTACATAGGCAAGGCAGACTTCCTTGATCAAGTGCTATTGCATGTTAGTATTTGTTCTAGAAAAGAAATAAGAAAAAAAATCATTTGATATAGATTAAACAGAGCAGCAATGCGCTCTGCAGACTCTGAGGGGGCGGAGGGTGTAGTTCCATGATGGAATGTCTGCCTAACATATGTAAGGACCCATGTTCAACCTCCAGCACCACAAAAATGAAAAGAAGAAAAATAACTCTCCCCCAAAATAACAAAGTCTGAGGGAAGATCAGATTAGGGAAAAAAAAAAAAAGACTGGTTCATTCTTTGACCAGCGTGTCTAAAAAGCACATTTCATAACATAGTAGTCTATGGAGACTGTAGACATTATAGCTTCCTTAAGTGCACAGTGAACACAGCGGTCTTAATTGTGTTGGTCTCCCAAGACTGGTTCATTAAATAGGAATTTCCCTTATCTATTACCCACAATTGCTCTGCTTTTTTCTTCCTTTTCTTTTGTTCACTTGTTTCTTCTCTTTTCTTTTTCACTCCAGAAAGTATTCCAGGCCCAGAGTTAGAAAAACACATGAAGTTATGTGGCATAAACAAGAGTGCCTTTCCCGTTGGAAGTCCACCTTCCTGGGCTCCACGGTACCAGATGTTTAGAAACATTTCTCCTCTAAACACAAGAATCATTGTGCACCACAATTTTGAGCCACTGACTTACATATCTTGAGCAGCTACCAACTTGCCAATTCCCTTTGGGTCTCCTTTATATTTTCTTAGAATATTTCTTTCTATTTTGGGTTTTCTTCATGAAGACTGGGAAGGGGCATGATTCTTTTTAAATTGATAAAAAATAAAAATAAAACTGTACAGATTTCTGCCCACTCGTATTCGTGAGCATGATCTCTATCAGGCTTGAAAACCGGCTTTATCATTTTGTATATTTGACTATTTTGTATTCGGCATTATTTGAGTCCTTATGTGCATGGCAATGTATTAAAATGTGGGATTTCTATTACCGTGTAAAAGTGTTTTGATTCTGATTTTCAACATATATCCGTGGCAAAAGAAAAAAATATGGCATTAAACTTTTCATTTCTATTTTCTTCAGCTCATCAGCTTTCTAGAAGAAAAAGAAAAGTTAACAGCATTTCACTTTCCCTGTGTTAGCTAATGATGCAATTCATGGTGGAAAATTGTCCTCAATTATGCTGTGTTTCCTGGAGAAATAATGTATATGAGATGAATTGGTGGCCTCCCTCCCAGCACACAGAATTCCCCCAGTACTGAATTCCACCAATGTGATTGCTCTTTCTGTTGAATGCTTGAGTATTGGGCACAGCTGGACAAATGTCACAATTCCCTTCACCCTCAGACATGCTAACACAGAGAAAAGAGGGGACTAAAGGTCTTGAGTCACCAATTTGCTCTTGTGGACAGGAGTCTTAAATGCCCATGGTAGCAAGAACAATGGCATTTTCCCAACACCTCTTGTCTGCATTTCTTTCAGGCAGTGACCAATTATAAGAAATCTGTCCTTTATTAATAGATACAGACTTTCAAATAACACCTACCTCAGACACCTGGAGTTAGAAGCCAGTGCTGCTGGCCTTGATGTAGGCCAGCAAACATCTAGATACCTTCCTTGCTCATTCATTTATATTACAAAATATACACGAATTCCAAATTTTTATTAAACCTTAAACAGTTTCCAGAATAATAAGATGCATCAAATATAAATTAGACAGTTTTATCTGCTCTAATCTACTACTTTCAACCTTCTTGTTTATTTTAATAAACACATATAGACACCAGGACTTGACTGACTATGAATTGACTCAACAAGAGCTGAAGAAAAGCATCTTTCCAGGCAGGAAAAATCCTGCATCAGAAGAAGACACCAGTGTTTGTTTTTGCTTTTACTTCCCAAAGCAAAGCCCCATGATAACCTTTGAGGCTTACTCACTGAGTGGATGTAGAAATCCTCAGAACTCAGCACGCTTCTAACTCCAAGCACGCATTTTTCTCCATTCCTCTGTACACAGTTTGAAAACAATTGATGTGGCTGGCTTGTTTGTTAGGTAGTCTCTTTAGAAGATTTTGAAACCATAACTCCCCCCGCAAAAAAAAAAAAAAACAATTCTCATCTTGTCATTTCTGGGATCACTCCCGACCATTACTCCTTCTCTTTTTGCCTCCTCTTGTTTTTTCCTTTCCCTCTATTGGTCCCCGCAAACACCTTAAATTGGTCTCTCTCTTTTTGTTTGCCTGGATACATTTTTCTGCTGTCCCTTCTACCACATATCACCACATCTTTCTCTTTTCTCCCCCCACCTACCTCTGTCTCTCTCTCTCTCTCTCTCTCTCTCTCTCTCTCTCTCTCTCTCTCTCTCTCTCTCCCATTTTATTTATCCTTCTTTTCCTTTGAGGTGGAATACTCATTTATACTTTTAACCTCTCCTCTTGGCCCATCATAGCTGCTTAAGAGATGTCAAATGGTAACTGTGGACCCTGCATGCTACACCCCTCTTTGATACTGGGGAAATTCTGAGGGAGACCAGCCAAGGCAAGATGTACAGTGGTACAGTGGTGGCAAGGGTATTATGGGAGTAGCCAACCACTTTCTGATTTGGATATTAAGCCCACTCCATATCTGGTACTGTAAACCTGTAAACCTTGTCAAAATTCTGTGACTGGGAATATCATGAGTCCTGGTGGGGAAGCTTCATCTGTTGTTTTGCTAAATGGACATGATACACTCATCAGGTTGCCTTCTAAAGCAGTATGTCTATCCTTATATATTAATGCTACTGTTAGCTTTGTTCAGAATGACTTCTCTTTTACAGAGGAAGGGGTGGAAAGAATATAAGGGCAGAGGAAGGAGTGGAGTGTTGTGGAACATTGAGTTTCTGGCATGACTTGGCCATTGCACTCTTGAACTAACAGCCTCCGTGATCCTTCATCCAAGACCTGGATAAGATAGGGACTGTCAACATGCTGCCAGAGAAAGAAAGGGGATTCATGAGGTCCCAACCCTCTGTGAAGATTTATAGGTAGTTTATGGTTGCTGGGAGAGGGAGAGCTATTTTCTTCAGTGATGCAGCCAATGGTAAGGTGCCCTGCTCCTGTAAAAATCTCTCCACCTACGCTCCTGAACTCAACCCCGATGAAAACCATTAGGTCACATTCCTCCAAGAACATGAAAAGAGGATGACCTGAGAAGAGGAAGAGGATCAGTGGATGTGGTAAGGGGACAAATGAGGATAATGGAAGGTATGAGTATTGTTAAAATACATTGTGTACATAATGGAAATGTCATAATTAAACCCATTATATACAAATAGTTACTAATATAAAGCTGAAAAGAAATGTCAGGAGAGCCGAATCAAACTTTAGAATTCAGGTCGTAGTCTTCCCAGCTCATTTTCTTTCTCCCTAACTGGATCTCACTATAATAAAGAACAAAGTCGGGTGTGTTATGTGAGGCAGGGGAACGTGCTAGGCACCAAGCTCTCCCTAGACTTGGAATGGGCAAATTCTCTCAATACCACTTTACAGATGGTCATCTCAGAGCTTGGAGCTTCTTGCTTCTCTGGATAAACAAGGCAGCTATATTTGGATCAAGAGCAGGGATGTGTGTGAGAAGTTCAGTTGAGACCATCAAAATAATTTATTGACATAAGATTATTCTGAATCCTATAAAATCCTTTGGTGAGACCTAGTAAAAGTCTACCCCAAGACATCTGCGTCTTTCTATTCCCAGTCTTCTCTTTAGAAGATCCCTTGTAGATCTGAGCTCTTTTTCGATTAACTCTCACATTTCTGCCTCCCCTGATGCTGCTTTTCTAGCTACCTTTTACTAAAGAAATCTAAAATACATCCCAGGTTCCTGTTGATTCATTTTGCCAAGAGATGTCCCTGGTTAAGGAGCTTTGTTATGATTCTGAAAGCATTAGGATTGTTATACTTTCTGTTTCTCGGATATCTTTTTTTCAACATATAGAGATGTATGTACATTGTCAAATAACTTTCCATTACCTTCTGTGAATAGTGCATAAATATTGAAAAAATAACCCAAGAGAAGCTTGAATAAAGGCAACCACATGCTTCTCTTTTTGTACCGCCTGGGACAATGCAAGGTAGGAGTAGATAATTAAAGCTGTCTGCAGTTGTTTCAGAAGGAAAGATAGTGTCATTCTCAGGAGACTCTCATAGAAACTTGCCAAGAGTCTGTTTTTCTCTCGTCTTTTTCCTTTTGGTTTGTAACTCAAACACTGTTATGTCCCCATAACCCAGTCTTTGTGGGGATATCCAAGAGGGGGGTGAAATGCATAGGAAAGAATTGCCAGATTTTCCTTGATGCTTCATCAAACTCTGAAAGCACAGAGGAGCCAGGTACAGGAGTTATAGAGGTACATACATATGTATTACCATGACACTTTGGAGCAGAAGACAGGAGGTTCATAAGTCCAAGGTCACCTTCAGAAGGTTTGGGTGTTTGGGTGGGTGTGAGATTGATTATGTGTTACACACACACACACACACACACACACACACACACACACACACAAATCTCATTTATCCTCCACCCAAAGACAGCTGCTTCTCTTATTTCCATTTCTCTTTTAGGAGAGGCCTTCTAAAACTTAGCTTTTTCCCACATAATTCCCCCATTATTTTGCTTCTCCAGTCTTATCTGTTGTCCAGACGCTGCCCCGCCAAATCATACAAAGCTAGTAAACACTGAACTTTCTTCAGTGATCAATGGAATGGAAAGCCCATCATAGTACATTTCTCTTAATAATTCCTTATCAATTTTTCTTGTTTTTTTTTTCTTAGAAATTCTTGCCCCAGGACTTTAGGATTATTGGCTGAAAAGTGAATAGACTGATGTGGTTGCCAGTGGTAGCTCAAATTCTACCTGTAGAAAGTAAGCCCAACAAGGTTTGCAAGGTTTTGTGTGGATTCATTTAAAGAACAGAGTTGGACATTGCACTATGAACCAGGAGCTATACATGGCACTGGAGTAGGTGTTGGGAAACTCAGAGGTAAGTGACATTTGTCACGACTATAAAGGGCTTACATTCCCTGAGGCCTACTCCACTGAAGGGAATACATATCCAGTACTATTAACTTGGACAAAAGCCTATGTTCTGGGCGCTCCCAGGCCTCACAAGGAAATCTGCTGCTGATATTTTGTTAAATAGACATGTAGTTAAACTGCCTTCTAAATATTTATGTTTGTATCCATAGACTTGTGTGGTTCTCAGCCAGTCAGAGAAGTTTCTTTTGGCAGTGGGCTACAGTCAACACAGAGACTCATAACTCGTCAAAGCACAGAGGAGAAAGGACTGCTGAGTACTCAGCCCTAAATGGGACAACCATGTCACCTACCCTGAGGCCCAAGGAACATTACCAAAGGTGGGCAGTTTCCACTGGGAGGGCCAGATAACAGGGGAAAGACTATAAAACTACTGCCCTCTGGATACATCATGGACACACAGCAGCCGTGACCACCTGCACAAGACCTGTATGTACACCACCAACAACAACAACAAATCACATGAAAGTAGGAGGAGCCTAGCAGACTAGTTGGAGAGAAGAAGAGGATCAAGAGGAGTGGGAGAGGGAGAAGAAAAGGCAATGGGGAGTGGGAGTCACCCCAGAATGCTATATGCAAGCATGAAATCGTGAAAACAAACACAAACAAAACCCCAAATCTTTTTCTTTTTTTGAGACAGTGTCTCTCTGTGTAGTTTTGTGCCTTTCCTAGAACTCACTCTGTAGCCCAGGCTGACCTCAAACTCACAGAGATCCACCTGCCTCTGCCTCCCGAGTGCTGGGATTAAAGGCAGGTGCCACCACCACCTGATAAAACCCAAAATCTTATAGCCTAAGAAGAAGAGAGCATCAACAAGACAAGGATGCTCTTCCTTAAGTAAGTATCCTTTACTAAGATGCAAATGCCTCTGGTCAGATAATAATTTAGCCTCATTTGTTGTCAGATGCTGAGAT